GGGAACTACATTATAACTACAGTTCTAATATGTTTACTAATAAATAAAACGAATCGGGCAATCGCCCATCACTAACATATTTGACTAACAATGGCAACAAATGAGATCGAAGTGAGCAGTTGTGAGATGAGAGGCCCGGTAAGACCTCCTCTCACGACATAGTTATGTGGAGTGTAGCTCGGGTAAGGGCTCACCACACAACAATATTAAAACACTGTTCATCAAAAGTGTCTACATTTTTTGTTCTTGATCATTTATAATTAAAAAACATAACTAATAAAACATTAAAAATGATTACGAACTTTATTATTGCTTTATTTAATAGATATGTTATTATGGGACACATTGTCGTTACAGTATTGTACCAAATGGTCGACAACAATGTTCGCATCGCTGGGTTCGCGCAGTTGTTCGCAAACATTCACAAATACTTGCAGTTTTCCGAACGCATAAGTATTCTATGGTATAAGTAGAAACATGGTATAAATAATTGATGTAATTGATTATGATAAATGTAATTTACCTGATTAATATTAAAACACTGTTGGTCAAAAGTGTCCACAAATTTGTGATAGCATTCAGCGTTGTTTACGGCGTGATTGCCGTTGAGTATAGCATCGGTGTTGACAGTAAGCATGTGTTCAACGCTCTGCACGTATTGTGCGATATGTTTGTCCATATATTGACGGCCAGTCAATAGTCGCTGTAATTCAGTCACATATCTATTCGGGTAAAAATTATTTAAATAAGTTTATTATTATTTAATTATAGTTAACATTAAATAAATGTTAATAACAATACATATTGTTGTTTTTGACTAAGATCGTCTGTTGACTCAACAAGTTTTTAAACAAGGGCAATGGGCACATCTCGGCTGCTAACGACATCATTATGTTTAGTGACGGGTGCTTTATAAGCATTAACTGTCTTTTTGGATCCTGATCATATATAATTAAGTATTAAGCCGTTCAAAAAAACTTGTCGCCTCAAGAATCGTTATATCTCCCAAACGGAATGAGCTAGATCAATTCTGTAAACTGTAAAATGATGGTCCACATATCTAGTTTTTGTATTAAAAAATTATTAAAATCACGTGACTAGAACATGGAAATTTTTGGGTCATTTCGAAATG